CCGGCTGCATTCGAACCAGCGTCTTTGAACATACCGTGCCAGATGATGGCGTACAGATGGCGCTACGGCAAAAAAGTCATAAAAAACCAAGACAAAGATCAGCAATAAGCATATAGATAGATTCGTAAGGTCTGGTAGTTTATTCTGTAGCTCTGTTGGGAGAGCGTCTGTCAGACTTTACGTCCTATCGCCAGGGCTACCTGCTCCGCGCCAAAAAAAAATTTTAGTCCTAAACCTTGACGTTTACAGATTGTAACTAAAACAGTGTTTACAGATTATAAATAAAACTCACAGATGGTTTTATATTTATATTTTATCGGTACTATAAAGCTCAGGGGTGGGTACAACGGAGATGGTCGCTCAGTGGTTCCGCGTACGTATGAGCACTAGGTTTCTCGCGTAGGACGTCCCGTACAGTGGTCACGGACACCAAGAGTCGTTCGGATGCGATAGGAGAATACAGGAGCGCGGTGCGCCGAGGTGGCAGTCCCCAGGTGCGTGGAGAACTCAGGGCTGGTAGGCTCGGTAGTCTCGCCCGGCGTTAGGACGTCGAGTCTGGCCCGGCCATCATCTTTGTATTAATAATTATAACAAAATATTGGAGTAATTTCATGACAGTAAAACAGTGACATTTCAATCAACTTAAAAATTAGAAGATAAGATATTTGGTAATTATATATATCTAGTACAGTGAGGACGACATTGAAAAATAAGTCAGTGAATAATTATATAGTTTTTGTCACCAATATCATCGTCTAACGTTTTTTTATGTTATCAAGTGGCGATACGAACAAGTAGTGCCATAATATTAGTAATAAATACAGAGCTTTAAATTGCAAACACCTGAGGGGCACTGTCACTACGCCCGTTACAAGTTCCACATGCTTGCAGATTCACCAGCATTATTATTAATAATGCTCACATTACTGCTTGCTGGCAGAATCAGTTAAGGTGGTAATACTGCCCTGGACGAATTCTTTCATAAGGATATTGATAAGTATACTGACACTAAAAACGTCAATTGAAAACTGACTTACTCGTATGTACTAGTATATTATTTATATTGCATTAGAATTTGCCTTTGTGAACTTTACATAGGTACTTTTATTAGAATCCTATCGTGAATGAGGTACCTTCACAGAGATACGTAGTATTTGCTCTCGAAGTTTGAATTGAAATGGTAGAGGTAGTCTATTTCGAAAAACAAAAGCCAACGCTACAGAGTTCTATTTCCAATAGTTGAAACAGCCTGACGTTACTCGTTAGCAAATGGCGGTCGAGCGAAGTATAAGAAATTGTTATATATTTCTCAATTTATTGCTGGCAAGTCTCGCTACTGTCTATTTCTACAAGTTCATTTGAATTTAATATTTAACCGACTTCAAAAAGGGAAGAGGTTCTCATTTGACTGTTTTTATATGTATATTACGCGATAACTCTAATATTTGTGAACCGATTTTGATGATTCTTTTTGAAGTCCCATCTAAATTTGAAGAAAATATTTCACCTCTAAGGATGGCAAATTAGGCGATGAATCCGGTTTCGAGCACTTTCCAATGACCGATTTCAATAAAACTTGGCAAATACTTTTGAATCGGATTTTTTTAGCACTCTATACTGAAATTATTGTATCCAAATTAGGATACGTATTGTAATTACTAAGATATTTAAGTTTTATTGAAAAAGTATTTAATTACACTGTAAAATATGGATGTTTATAAAACCACTAAAATACACTATCGACCATTACACACAATGGAGCAGCGCTCGCTTTGGCATAAGGCAGCTATCTCCAACTTCTTCGTTATAGTTTTTTTCAGCTGTGAGCTACATATGTATGTGTTTTTTTAAATATCCTAAACTTTGAACATTTTATAATCTTAATTTAATAATTCATATTTGATTTCAATTTATCACAATAATACAATACGATTTCGCAAATTATTTTCCGTAAATGAAAGTTTTTCTTGACATTCATTTGTTTATTTGTGTTTTTAATTTTTTCGATGTTAATTTACGATATTACTTACAGAAATGTTCAGAGTTGTTTCCATGTTATTTCACATCCATCAATCGACTAAGTTTCACGCAATGAGCAGCGAAGTTTATGTGATATTAGAATAAAATAAACAGACCTCGACCGGGAGTCGTAAATTTTGTGCGCACAAACACAGTCGAATGTTATTGAGGCTTCTGAATGTATTCTTTCAGTGTTATTTTAAATGTCAATTTTTATGAGTTACAATGTACATTGTTGATACATACTAAGTTACCCATGAAAGCTTACATCGCCGTAGAAATTTTTAAATTGAAGTAAGCCATATATGAATTTAATGTAATTAGGAATGTAACGCTAGGATAAGAGTAAATGACTAGAGTGAAGGAGATGGATGAATGAGAGAACGTAGAAGGTGAACAGTGACAGGCAGCATTTTAGTTAGATATAGTTATTGATTGGATTTTGTACGCGTCTTTACAATAAGGAAAAAATAAAAACTTAAGTTCTACATGCATTTTTTTTATCAAAAAATCCCACATTTATGTGCGTACCTTTTACCGAGTTAGGCAAATAGTGATGGCAGTTGATTTTAGGTTCTGATTCATCATGTAGCTACACATGTTTATTGCGGGAATTTTACGTTTCTTAAGGACATCCTTTTGTCTGTTTGAAATCGTATGAAACGCTAAAATTTATTTGTTTATTTTGTAAAATATATAGGAAATTTTAAGTGTTTATGATAATGAATATAAGTTGCTTCAAAAATTGAAGATTGTATTTTGTTACTTTGAAGATTGTATTTATTCTATTTCGTGTTTCCAAATTTCTTAGTCTCGTAGATTTATTTCCCTGGACGAACTTTTTCACAAGGAGCTCCATTGCTACTTAAAATTAACAAAATATGCGAATCTTCGCATATTTTGTTAATTAAGTAGATACTTAAGGATAACAAAATATGCAAAGATTTGCATATTTTGTTATCCTTAAGTATCTACTTTTTATAATGAGATTATGACATAATTCCCTATTAAAGTTAAATAAACTAATGTAAAAACATAATAAATGTTTGCATGCTAATCTTCTATTGCTTGTTTATTTACGATTATATATTATATATTTCTGATTATATATGAGTATATAATCAGAAATAGACATGAAATAAGGGCCATATATTCCTGGTAACACATTAGCGATACAGCTCTTATAAATATCAACTCCCGTTTGCACTGAAATATAGTCAGGCCAACTACTGACCTGTGTGTAGGTCTCCGTATATTCCAAAAAATATTCTGTATGTATTGTAATAAAGATAATATCTCTAACAATGCCGTTCTGGTCTATTCGGTGGTGTGGGATTTTTCCCTGTGCTGTTTTCAGCAAAACATCTAATTACAAAACAAACGGAATCACATTTTATCGGTAATTAAAAATTAAATATGTATAGGAAATGAAACTATTTTTCCGGATTTAAATCGTGTATATTTGTTTTTTCAAACAAACCGACACTTGTTTGAAAAAACAAATATACGCGATTTAAATCCGGAAAAATAATTTCATTTCCTATATGTAACAATCACGAAAACCTAAGAACTCGATATATTAAATATGTAATTTTGCAATTTTCGTCCATTATAGCAAAGCTCAAGTTAACTGGTCGATTTGAAGTGAAACAGTTGACGACACCCGTCAATTGTTTCGAACTCGGGCTAGCCAATCGGAGCGCAGTTGTCACAGTAATGATATGGCAGAATAGTTTTCAAACAAATTAAATAACATTTCGTCTCTATTTCTCGTTATATATTCGATGGTTTATGTTCTCATCGCTCTGGGTTATTTTGCAATTTTCGTCCATTATAGCAACGCTCAAGTTAACCGGTCGATTTAAAGTGAAACAGTTGGCGACACCCATTGACGACACTCGTCAATTGTTTCGAACTCGGGCTGGCCAATCGGAGCGCAGTTGTCACAGTAATGATATAGCAGCATAGTTTTCAAACAAATTAAATAACATTTCGTCTCTATTTCTGGTTATATATTCGAAGGTTTATTTTCTCATCGCTCTGTGTTGTTTGTATATGGTAATGACCACTCGTGATGCTATTGTACGGCAAACGGGAAACGCAAGGCAACGAACAATGCCAATAAAATGCCCTTTTTTACGAGAATAGTATATTTCTTTGTACTATTTGTTACCGTTTCCAATTTTAAACATCCAACACTATACATATACTGTTAGGTGGAATGTTGCTGCCCTACCGAAGCGCTGCAGTCTCTTTTTTCCTTCTTTTTCTTTTTACGTAGTTAGATTTGCGTAGGAAAATATTTTTGTAACTTTTTCTTATTTTGCTTTTTACACAGTTCTGTACATTTACAAGCGCAAAATTTCTCGCAAAGATTTAAGGGGCATTGCCATTGCGCTCGTCGCCCTGAGACATATGTAAGTGGAAAAGTCTTATGAGCTTGTAATTTCACCTACACCCCTTACCTGTCAAAAGCGAAATTCAGTAATTCACACATTATTGCTTGGTAGTACAAATAAGTATGGTGATAGTATTTCTTTGGACGAAATTTTTCATAAGGAGCTCTACTTCTACTAAATTGTGCATGTTGAGTCGATGCCAAGAAAGCTTCGCTCGCTCCGCTTGTTTTGTTTCGATTGACCAGTAAATAACTAAATTTAACTTAAATTTATGGACATCGAAATTTATCGAAATAAAAGCATTCCTTCCGTTGTCATTATGGATGTCATTGAAGTGCGTTAGGTGAAAATCGAGGACGTTTTATAGCATCTCATTAATAGTGTTACTTTCATCATTAACCTTCCATGGCGATTATGAAAAACCTTATCTGTAGCCCTATTTTAAGCCTATATGGTGCCTTTATACTGCTTGTAAAGTACTACCTCGATAGTGATGTCCTATATGAGCGATAAAACATAAAGTCTCTACCATATAATGAGTAAAACCAAAGTAAATACAAACAGCAATTTTCTCTATTTCAGGTCATTATGTGGGTCTTTCTACTCCTCGTCATAGCTCCGCTGACCTTGGGGCAGCAACAATGGGTACCCTGTTCAGAATTGAACGACGACCTACGGTATCCCTGCCGGTGTCGAGTGCAAGTGGACCGAGCTTTGCAGTTGAGGATCTTAATGAATTGTGATAGAGTTGTTTTCCCTGGAGATTATCCGGCTCTTCCGTATGGAGCACCAATTATCTCCTTCACTCAGCGATGGGCCGGCCAACAGACTCTGCCTACACAGGTTTGTTTATTTTTTTTTGTAATATTAAGTTTATTGAATACCACGATGTTTTACTACCATGATATTCAATTATTTTTTTGTGAAATGACTCCATTAGTTCGTTACAATTATAAATACAAACATCGAACACAAAGAAAAATTCATTCGATCCGGTTGGACTCGAACCGATGCCTTCATCATTTTCATACTTTTGTTCATCTCTTTATGTTCCGTATCGCTCCTCTGCAGTGTTGAGCTGATGTAGTGTGTTTCTAGGTTTACACGAAGATTTTCACACACTTTTATATCACAGATGGTGCTACGGAAAAAAGAGTTGAAAACCAAAAAATAAAGATCTGCAACGAGCACATACAAGAATTTGTAAGGTGTGCTGGTTGTTCAGCTCAGTTAGAAGAGTATTAACCACGGTATGGAGAAGGTGTTGGTTCGAGTGCACCCGAATCGAATATATTTTCTTATTAAGATGAGTCATTTTATAAAAATGATTCCATTTAACTTTTCCAACGTTATTAATAGTGGAAAGATTAGCCCGATGGAAACAACGCTTTGAACAAATATATAAGATTAAAAGTTAGTTATAAATTGGTCGACCTTTTAACTCAATCCTGTCATTGGATAGGCAAAATTGATCGATCGCAGTTCAAAGAATTTGACAGCTTGTAAAGGCAGCATCGATCAATTACGAAAGGTGGCATGAAAGGAATCCGTGATACATGAGCCTCAAAAGATTTGGATACGTCACCCTTTCAAAAGTTTTTTACGTTCTTTATTGGATTTCAGAACTAAGATGGATCATCCATCCGTGAGTTGGAAAATTTAAAGTTTAAAAGATTTAAAAGCGTAAACACCTAAATAAGTACACTGTTTCAACACTGCAAATAGAAGGGTGACTGTGTGAGTGGCTTTAAATAAAAAGAAGTAAATGACATTGCCCATTAAGAGTGTACTTAATTACATAAATGCAAACTTGTTGGTATTTAAATGACTCTGTGGTCGAGTGGTTTGCATATCGGTTTTTACGGTGTCGCCATCTATGAGGTTCTGAGTTTGATCCCTGGTCGGGTCAATGTACAAAACTCCCTTTTTTATATTGTCTCGGGTCTGAGTGTTTGTGGTAACGTCGTTGTTTCCAATATGCATAACACAAGTGCTTTGGTTACTTACTTTGGGATCAGAGCAACGTAACGTCGGCTAAATTCGTACGCCTCGTGACCTCCATTAACGCGAACTTCTGAGAAGTCACAAAAAACAGAATTATTGGAAATAATTATATAACAATCTATGATTGTACCTTTATTTTATAATTAAAAAAGCGCTTATAAATTATTGTTTATGCTTTAATTGCCCGATATTGCGCTTGAGGAGTCAAAAAGGCATTTCGTCCAAAAACGAAATTACGAGGTTTTCAAATCTAGCCGGCGGTATGTAATGTTGTCTAATATTAAATTAGTTTAGTTTTATTTATACCATCAAGATGGCAGTAGAATACTGAATTTACAATCTAATTAACAATAACAGTGTATAATTAAGGTTCATATTTTAAAGAACTACAGGTGAAAACTAGCAAGACAAAGACGAAAGTGACGGAGAATTTTAAGCGTCTTAAAAGGTATTAAGACCCCGTTATATTAAATATTACGATGTCTTTTCGAATCGCGTCGTAAAGTTTATAGCTCGTGCATGCAAACCGGTGATAGATTTCTGTAATACTAGCGTGCGCTTCATGATCTGATAACCGCAGGAACACGGTCGTATAATGGTGTTGTTTCAAAGAGTGAACATGTTCCGGCATTTGTTCCGAGTGGAAAGGAATTCGTTTGAAACGTTTATTACATTTTCTCAATTTCTAGGCTCCTGAGTCAAGGTAGGGCATGATCCTTAGTTAATGAGTCACTAATTACACTACTCTGCCAATCAGGTCCTAACACATTCTGAACGCGAATTTCAAGTAAAACTTTAAAGCCCTGGGCCCGTACATCCTTATTAATATAGTCTTTGTAATATTTTTTGCATAAATAGAGCATATCTTTGTACATGTCTATCAGTTACAATAAAATTTATTTTTCTTTATTGCACGACATGGCGATAGCAAAACAAAATGGCTACGCGAACTGCAAAGTGCTGCATATCGGCCTGTGCGCCCCTTATTAAAGATCCTAATCTTTACACCTCCCAGCAAGTTAGAGTTAGGGTTAGGGTCCCTTGAAATTCTAATAGACGCAGACGTTTTATACATATGCTGACGAACACTTGGTGTGAGATGCTGTTATTCCATTATGAAAAAGTCCACGTACGAAATGAAACTGATTTTCGTTGCACGTGTTGGCAATAAATGCTTTTTAGGAGGTACCATTTTTTAAATTGGTGTTGTTGATTTGCGTACAAAACGTTTTGAGCATTACCTTGTTGTTACTATTGATACAAAGATAGAACAACACAAACAAAAAATCCTTCCGTCTGATTGGTCTCGAACCAACTTTTGTTACCCAATGCCCAAATGGGCCCAACGCTCTTACCAAATGAGCTTCAGACTGTTTTTCATAAGTTTCTCGCAGGAGCTCTGACTTTAAAAAGGCCGTTTAAATTCAATACAAAGATGTGTAAGCACATGGAGAAATTCGTATGATCTGCTGACTCGATGTAGCTCAGTTGGTAAGAGTGGCAGTCCCGGCATGGCAACAGACGCTGGATTAGTCCGATAAGATCAAAAGTTTTTTGTATTGTTCGACCTTTGTATCAACTAGTGGAGTGTTTTCACAAAAAATATATAAATATCATAGTAGTAAAACATCACAATACGTAATAAATAAATAAACTTTTATTTATTAAATATCATGTAACTTGATTCTTGAAAGAGCTTATTTATTTTATCTTACCCCTACAATTATTTTTTTGTGAAATTACTCCACTAGTTTGTTATAATTATTAACTAAGCTTAGTTGGCATAGCGTCTGCCACGGTTTGCTAGAAGACGTCGGTTCCAATCCGACCGGATCGAAGGAATTTTTTCTAATTGTTGGATCTTTGCATCAATAATTAGAGGAATATTTATTAAAAAAAATATATATTATTTAATAATGATATAATGATACGTTCATTGATGTTCGAATGTCAGATCGTGTATATTTACGCATATGACTGAGGGGTAGTTCTAGGTTTCATAGTCTATATTCCCCAGTGCCTAGTCGGTCTAAACTTTTCGAGAGTATTGGAACTAGTTTAATAAGGCCTCTATCAAATCAAACTGAAAACTGAGAAACCAACTTAAAATGACCAAATTGCACGTATAACATAGATATACATATATCTATGATGTATAACAATACATACAATTTTAAGACAGTGAAAAATGTTGATTGAAAACATTGACTTACAAATAAATGGACGACGGGTCTAATACAAAAACCACGAAAAAAATGTCCCAAGTCAACCTATTCGAAATTTAAATTGTTATATCATCGCAGTATCGCGCTGTCCGTAGAACAAATGAAGACTAAAGCGGAGTGTCGCGCTCTGTATACGATTTTAGCGCCTTACAAGTGCGGACACTTTCTAGCGCGGACCCGACGTCCATATAATTGTAAGTCAATGATTGAAAATGAAACTTTAGCATGGCATTATACATACGTGACAAACATACGTATGCATTCATTTTTATGTAGATTCGAGATTAATAAAAATGTAATGAAATAATCTCTAATAAGTTTCCGTATTTCTGTAGACATTATAGTTAGATCTTAGTCTGGCTCTCAACTGAGACTGAAATTTATATAAATTGTAATATCTTCCATTTGCCAATAATGAAAATACATAAATATAAACTCGGAAATAATTGTAAAGCAACACATAAAATTCGTGGAAAATGTCAATAATACGTTAGAGGCTAAATAAATTTAATTTTATGGAGAGTAATATCGAATTAAACACAGTTACAAAATTAGCGTTATAGCCCTCCGGTGGTACCATGGGAAGCAGAGCATGTATTGCCTGAGAGCTTTATTTTCCGTTCTTGTACCTCGTGTTTTGCCGAAAATACATGCGAATTTTATCAAATTGTTAAGTAGTTAAACGTAGTACAAAAAATATTGAGTTGCTTCTATTTCAAATTGTGATTAACAAACTTCAAAAGATTATTCGCACACGCACACATACGCACATGCTCACGTACACGCACGCAGACGAAACGTTTGTACAACCTTCTATTAAGTAATTATGATTACAGTCTTATAAACAAAAAAAAGTATTGTATAATAAGACACATTTTGGAAAAGTTAACAAGTCTACGAGGTTAAAATTTTACCTATGCAAGCTTATGAATAGAAATAATAATACGATATATAATCAAGCATTGGATTATATCTGTTGAAAGGGAACTTCGTGCCGGTAAAGTAAAACGTTGACATCAGTCGTCTATTGTGTTCTTAAAAAAGGTTCCCTAAAGTTTGTTTAGCAATCGATCCCCGTTGCCGTGAGGACAAGGCGTTATTTTCACACACGTAGCCTTAGCCGTTGTTGGGGACTCAGTGAAGTGGCTGTGTCACATAATGTATTCGAGATCATAAGTTTGTGAGCTCTCGGGACCTACTTCAAGCGTTCAGTGTTCAAGCGCTACCATTCAAACTGGGATCAAGTTTGACAATAGAGAAATATTTGAATGCCTTCAGTTTCTTGCAAAATGTTCATTATTGTATACGATAAAAGCTGTTAAAAAGTCTATTTTTTAAAGAGTTGTTGTATATTGTTAGGTTAGGTTTCAGAAAAGTATTAGGTATAATTAGTAAACGAAAGTTTATAAACGTTCGCGATGAATACTAATAATAATAATATTTTAAGACAGTTTATGTGATGAAACGTTTGCTATAATTATTTGGTTGATGACTACAAATAATTTTCCCTGTAAACCTCACTAATTACCTGGTCCGTAGGGAATTTCTTGTATTTCGAGTAACAAAGCTACCGAATTCATTTCGGGGCATTACTCAGAGCACCCAGAATAGAACCAATTTGGAAAAATTCAATTCCCAAATTGGTCTTACCTCATCATCTAGTGCCCACGGGTTTAAAAGGTTGCCGCTGGGCCATCGAGGTCATCGATTCCAAATACTTTGATCGTACTAAAAATATAAGAGCAATGAGATTCATTAAAAATCGATTACTAATCATTTGTCGTTTGAGTACCACTCAATGTCGATTTTTCGATTTGATAATCATAAACATTCAGTTAAAGTCATAAATATTCCAGTAAACATGACATAACTCTAAAGCAAAATTAATTTCAATTTAAATTACTTTCCCTTAGTAATCGTGGTGGACTACGGGATCAGCAATATAAATTATATTCTATAGGTTTTTAGACCACATTTTCATAATTTATATTACGAAAGTTACAACAATCTCTTTTATTCGAATAACGTTAAGTAAATTAGATTTTGAATGTATAAATGTTTTCAATGCTTGAGATACTGATTTTGTTATAATTTTTGGGCTTGTTAATACTTTATATATGCCGAATTAGAGACAATTTTGAAATGTAGTTTTCCTTATCTCAATTAAATTCTCTTATATAGATTTTTTCATCGTACGGCCTACCATTGAAAGAATTGGACTTCTCCCACAACTGTCTGCGGCGTCTACCAGATCGTCTTCTAGCTGGTGTACGAGGCAACATCACCAGATTGGCGCTAGCTGATAACCTGCTGGGAGACAACCTGAACCCCATATTCTCAACTGCTGAACTCCATAATCTGCCATCATTAGAACAATTGGATCTGAGTGGTAATAGTATCAGAGGAATTGAAGAGGGTTTACTTATTGGATGTGAAGTTCTTAAGGTACGTATTGTGTAAACTTTTTGGATTCTTATTACTGTCCGAAGAGCTAATGTACTACGGTCTACTACATTTTTGCTGTCCCTTTGAAATGAAAAATTTGTAATACATGAGATCTAAAAATGCAGTGTCGAGGTATTCCGAGGTATAACAATTCATCGAGCATAAGGCTTATTCTTTTATTGACAATGCAACATACATTTTATTTCCAGGTGTTACGGCTGGATCGCAATAACATGAACTTTGTACCGTCTTCCTCGCTGAACGGGCCTCACGCTTTGAAGGTTCTTTCGCTTAGAGAGAATAGAATAGGTAAGCAAGGTTTTACCTGTAAATACTAAACATTGCATATATGTAAGTTGCTATTGTTTTTATGTTATTTGTAAACCTTATTTATAGCAATAAAATCTATTTATTCACAGATTTGATCCGTCAAGCATCGTTCGTATCCCAAAAAACATTAGAGGAGATAGATTTGCATGGCAACATGATCTCGACGATTGAAGGAGGAGCTTTCATTGGTTTGAGTTCTCTGCAAAGTCTCGACCTTGGCCGGAACAGGCTCTCCAAGTTTAACAGCGACGTGTTTCAAGGAACTGAGAACTTGGAAAAGTTAGACCTTTCCGAAAATTTCATCACAGATTTCCCCACTGTCGCACTCAAGTCGTTTGCAGCTCTAAAGCACTTGAATCTATCCAGCAACATGATCACGGTGAGCATAACTTTATAACTCGATTCAATTTTGCTCAATCGAAAATGACAGCTGAAGTTGAATTTGATTTGTTTGTTCCCATTGCTTCGGCGACGAAATAATACAAAAAGGGTTACAAAAGCAATTCATAATTAAGTTTTGAGAATTGAAATGTTTAATATTTCGACGCTTGGTAATTAAAGAGTTATTGATTCGAATATTGTTACGGTACTTTAAATGAATTTGTTTTCTATCAGTTCATTGAATACGTCTAATAAGAACAATTAGTTTCCTTCGATTAAAATGGTCTATGAAGTAAAAATGGTTAAAATTATTTGTTTCAGAATATTGACAACAGTCACCTAAGTTCGATGGTGTCACTTCAAGTATTGGATCTCAGCAGGAATAATCTTGTAAAACTGTCACCAGGGACATTTGTTGGCCTTACTGAATTGAGTTATTTAGATGTTGGAGTTAATTCTCTTCGCACTGTAAGTAAATCAACACTAGTTTCCCCGAAAATCTCGTTGGGATAACAATTATCTTTAAATTGGCGTTTATTATAACAAGGGGATTTCTGGAAAGAGAATTTAAATCATTATCTGATTCAAGACACTAGTAAAGTTTTTATAAAACTCATTACTTAATGTTATTTCATGAATTGTTTGTAATAGAGAATTAAATTTTTTGAATGTTCTTTTTTCAGGTGGAAGATGATGCTTTTGATGGTTTAACAAGTTTACGCACACTTCTTCTGCGAGACAACAACATCCTCCTCATTCCAGCTACTTCGCTATCACGCCTTCCAAACTTAGTATCTGTTCATTTAGGATTCAATAGAGTTACTGCTTTGTCCAGCGATATTCTTAAATCAGTTTCTGACAGAATCACATCTCTAGTTCTGTCTAGAAATGTAATAAGAGAACTACCACCAGCAGCTTTCAATCACTTTAAGACATTAAATCACTTAGACTTATCTGGGAATTTATTAAACTCCATTTCTGCTGAAGTGTTTGATGGACTCGAATCATCCCTTCAATTTTTGTCCCTGAGTCAAAATAGAATATTAGGTTTCACAGGAGAACAACTCAAGTTTATTAATCTTTGGTTTTTGGACATTTCAGACAACCAACTATCAGAAGTTCCAAGCAATGCTTTTGAAACTATCCCCAGTTTATCCCACCTTAACATGAGTAGAAGTGGGCATATCAGTGTTTTACCGCAAAATGTTTTTCAACATAACCAAGCATTGTTGTCTATTGATTTGAGTTACTTAAGTTTGAAAGCCTTACCAGTAAATTTGTTTTTGAGAACGCCTAACTTGGAGCATATTTATCTGCATAATAACCATTTATCAGAAATATCCGAAAATAGCTTCAAAAACCTCAAAAATTTAACACACTTAGACCTGTCTTATAATAACATCGTTAACATCCGAGCACCTGCTTTTGTTAATGTAATGTCAATTCAGTACTTGTCTTTAAAAGGTAACCAGCTTAATGCTTTTAAAGGTGAATTCTTTAACACGGGCACAAGTTTAGAAGTAATTGACCTTTCCGATAATGCGTTAAGCTATTTATTCCCTTCCTCATTTAAAATTCACCCACGATTACGTGAGATTATTCTCTCAAAAAACAAATTTAACTTCTTCCCATCTGAACTTATAAGCACTTTACAATATCTTGAGCTCGTGGATTTATCTGGAAATGCGCTGAAGAACGTTGATGAACTTGACTTTGCTCGACTTCCAAAATTAAGAACAATTCTCTTGGCACGAAATGAACTAGAATCAATTAGTGAAATGGCATTTCACAATTCTACTCAAATACAACACTTAGACTTGTCGCATAATAAAATAGACCGTTTGGGAGACAGACTTTTTGAAGGTTTAATTAGATTGGAACTTTTGAATTTGGCTGGAAACTTTTTGAATGAATTGTCGGAGAATATTTTTGATCGGTCGAGGTTGCATATGTTGGAAAAGATTAATTTGAGCGATAATATGTTCGAACACGCTCCTCTAAAAGCGTTACAAAAACAATATTTCTTTGTTTCTTCAGTAGATTTATCTAAAAATATGTTGATTGATATTCCTGCGGAAGATAGTGTCATGGTTAACATTAAGAAACTCGATCTTTCTTTCAATCCTTTGTCACAAAAGTCTGTTAAGAGTATTCTAACTGAACCTAAAACTGTACGAGACTTAAATCTTGCAGGAACTGGTATAAGGGATATTGGTCAACTTGAGACTCCATTTTTGCATAGTCTGAACCTTTCTTACAACAACATTACCAAACTGACCGAAAAGACTTTTGCAAGGACAACACTATTGGAATCATTGGATCTTTCCCATAATGAAATATCAGACGTATCAGGCTCGTTAGCGATTTCTTGGCCTAAACTTAAAAATTTGCAACGTCTCAATATTTCTAGTAATCCCATTCCTGTGGTCGTTGATGGTAATTTTGAAGGCTTGTCATCATTGAGAGTTTTGGATATGAGGTATCTGGACATGTGCACTAGAATAGAGAAAAATGCATTTAGGGCTTTGCCTAATTTAGTAGAACTAAGAGCGTATGGATATCCCCGACTTGGATATTTTGATGTGCAGGGAGCTCTGCAATATCTACTAGCACTTGAAAAATTAGACGTCGAAGTTAAAGACACCACAATAGGGTCTGATCAGTTGCATTCAACATTACATCCTCGGCTTGAGGAATTAGGGGTACGTGGATTACGTTTAAAAACCGTGTCTGCTGGTATATTGGCTGGATTGAAGTCGCCTGCTATAACAGTGCGGTTCCGTAATACGTCTATCACAAGTTTACCTCCCGCGTTGTTGTTTCCACTTCCTAGATCTTCTCAAATTACAATAGACGTAGCCGGTAGTCAACTCTCGACACTGCAGCCGCAGCTGCTTGTGGCTCTTGATGACCGCCGAGCTGATTTATCAATGTTTGGATTGGATACCAACCCGATACGTTGTGATTGTAATGCAAGAGCTTTACGTAGATGGCTTCCAAACGTTGGCATAGAGGATGTCCGCTGCGGTTCTCCAGATCATCTTTCCGGATTTTTGCTTGTAGAAATAGGCGACGACGAGTTATCTTGTGACAATAGACGCAGAACTACGCTGTCATCTTCTTCGAGTATTATTACAACAACTCCACCCCCAAGACTCGTTCATAGAACTTCGGCTGAACCTGATATAATTTGGTCCGTTGCTCCATCGCATGAGAGACCAAAAGTGAATGGTGATCCTAAAGGAGCACCGGTTGTTGGTGTTGCATCATCCACAAACGATGACAATTTGATTATAGGAATTGTAGGAGGAGTTGTATTGTTCATTGCTATATTAATTGTAGCAATATGTATTGTGCGATTGAGGATGTCGTCAACGTCTTATAGAGGAGGTCCTCTCGCAAATAGCCCTGCGGCTGCGGCGCCTTTATGGGGTGCGGCATGGCCAGGATACGCGGCGACATTGCCTCCGGCTTCGCTGTCGACTGCCACTTTGCCACATAAGTTGCAATCGGGTCCTGGATCAGTGCGCTATATTGCACCTCCACCGCCGCCGGCACCATACTTTATCAGTTTGCCACCCCACGATGATAAAATTTATCGGTAGTACATTCGCATAAGTTTCTTATAGTATAAGCTTTCTTTGCCAGAAACCTTGTAAATAGTATTATGACAATGTAAGTTTGAAATAAATAACTAAATCTTTTCTTGTGGAATTTTATATCGTTGTAGATATTTTTTGAAACTAACTATAGTTCATGTCAATAGCACCTTTATCGAATGGTGTTTAGTAACATAGTACGCAGACATGTCCGTTCATTAATGTTTCTACATATTGTTTCGCAAATGCTCGGGCTAGGTTGATTCATCTAGTCACCAGTGACAGACTTTGCAGCATTATCTTATTAAAACTTAAGTTGATGAAATAAAAAAGTTATCGGTGCTTTGTTATGGTGAAACAGTATGAATTTTGTAATATATTTTATTTATTATCCTAGTTTAAGTATAATATGCGGCCGATTGTAAGTTTAAGAACGAACGATTTATTTCAATAAAATACTTTATAAGATGAAGTTTGTTATTTTATTACTCCCAAAGCAGCTTCAAATTCATCAAAATTTTATTGTAAGTTGTTATTAGTTCACACCAGTGATCGCAGGAAGCTGACGGAAGTCTTTCAATAAAACTGTTCACGCATAGATTATTACGTGGTCCATTAGAAGATTGAGAAAAAATTAAGGACGTGGTCTACCCGCTTCCGTCAAAGGAAACAGATTTACGCCGCATCCTTCAATCATGAGTCTAATTAAGCTTAAAAGAAAATCAACCCTGAGGCTTATTCTTTGAGTGTAAATCTGAAATCCACGAAACACACAATCTTTTAATGTAACTCCTCCATTATTAATTACTCGACCTCGTTTAATTTCGGATTATAGCCGAGCGATTGTGAAATATTAATAGCATCCCCTTTTCACTCGCTTTTGTGTTGTGTCATTAAACCAGGAGAAAAATGCGTCGGAAAATCTCGCTTTGTGTAATTGTGTTTCACACAGTGTGTGTGTTGAAGCTTTTGTTTATGATCAAGGGAAATTTACATAAAATCCTCAGCGGCGCCATTTTTTTGGAAACGCGTGAATGGGAATAGGTATCGCAAACAACAGTAGCAATACACGCTCTGTGAGCGTATTTCAAAATTGAATTGTGCTCAGGGTCGCGATACAATAGCTGCAGGGTGATTCAACGAGCGGTATTTATGCGAATCAATAGCGCGACGCAATTGCAGATATCAACGATTTACCTATTTGGCAAATAGGCCGCAGTGGAAATTTCACACTCTGCTTTGAATTTGGTGTAGTTATGGGTAAAATTTGTTCGAAATGTGTTATTCTGTTAGGCAACGATGGTAAAGTTGACGGGATCGTAATTCATCACAAATCAATCAATTATTATACAACTTCTGCGTACTTGGATGACAAAAATCCGTGGTAGTAACCCGTTTAGCTCATGGAGGTAGTCTCGATCTCTGATGTTTCAAATAAAAAAAATATATATTATAAATGTTGAAAGTGTACAAATGTTATTTACAAAGAGCAACCCCTAGAGTTTCTTGCTCACTCTTCTCAGGGGAATCTGCATTACGAATGAGCGGTAGAGTTCAACCATTGTGACGATTTCAAGTGTAATAATGCTTACCTATGAAATAAAGATTATTTTGAATTTGAATTTGAATTTGAATCACAATTTTTACCATACTAATTACAATTACGCTAGTTTTCTCTGTATTGAGAACTTTTTTAATAATATAGTGGTAATCGATTGCAATTTAAATGCAAGTCCTGCCAGCAAGAATAAGCGCGCAGACAGTGCATCTTTTCTACATAGAATATCAATTCGGTATCAACTGCAGACAGGTTAAGAATTAATCCAATTATACTTTAAAGTAAGTATGTTCTTGAAGTCAGGTACAAATTTCCATGGATCAGACATTGTCTACTGATAATATAGTAATATAATAAGTAGGTATCAATTGAAATATTTTTTCAAATATACATTAATTCAAAATTAAAAACGAATATAATGGCACGTAACAACCCAAGGAGTTTTTCAAAACTGCCTAACGTGTCATAAAAACATGCACGGTACTATTTTGTAGAGACCAAACTTAAGATACGTTCAATTTAACGGAAACTGACGAAAATGACTATTATGCAAAATGTCTTCAATCATGCTAAAAGTCATTTTAGATTGATTCACCCTTGTAATGAGTACATTTAGTTCCATTGTGTACCACGGGATGTCCTTAAAAAAGGCTATGTTAAACTTACCAAGAATAAGCGGGCATGCAGAAAGAGAGCGATGGAAGTGAAGGAGGCGAAAGAGGTTTATAATAATAATAATAATATACGTTTATTTTCTCCACAAACTTAACTGTTATACGTGCACAAAATTAAAAGCATATAACAAAAATTTTTGTTCTACATTATGTTGGTAAGAGACTGGAACCTAAAGCTGGCGTACTGATAGCACATTCGCTTCCAGGTATAGGTGGGATGTAGGAAATAGTTGAGGTTTGTCAGGAGCGTAGCAGGTGGAGGTCCATAATCTCTGCCAATTGCCCGGTAGTTGCTGCTGCTCGAACATGTTGAACGGCTTAGCGGTGGCAATCGCTAGTCGTGCAATGCAGAACGGGAAGTGAGCGTGCCAGCAGCTCCGGTACCTGGACTATAGGGAGGCTAGGGATTTTGTACGTGCACCGATAGAAAGCTCACTAGTCTTTTGAGAACCGTATGAAGTCTGTGACAACCCTGTCTACAGGCTGGTCTAGTTCAGGACCTGAACTTAGAAGGTCCCTGTGCTTGCACAGGGTATAGAGCCCTTCGTGCATAGCCAAGAGGTCGATAGGGAGGGTCACCATGTGAGGATGCGACCTCTTACATAGTCATCCCACCCTTTTCTCTGGTTCCTGGCCGTCTACTTCGAAATTTTGAATCGTTCTTAAATATCTTTTCTCCTTCGTCACTTACTTTTCTTCTTCTCATCGCCACTCTTTATTAATTTTCCGAAGCGATCAAGCTCGTCTTGACATAAAATTTGGACCAGTTCAATGTAACATTAATTGTAACATGTAACTTAACTGCTTGCAAAGTATAATATTTCCAGTACCACTAGAGATCATGTAACCGAACTGCTTATAAAGCATAATGTACAGAGAATACAGAAAATACATGCCTTTTTGGGGTAAGTTCTTTTTTACCTTAACCTGTATCTAACTTAAGGAGTGTTTTTATATCTGTTCGTTTCAAAATTCAAGTGGAAAGATATAGGGACTGCCCGGTGGGAGATAGGCGTGCTGACATTTTATATATTTCATTAAAAAAAGAAAAGAAAAAATATGTACGAGTATGTAAATATAATAGGAATCGTCGGAATTTATTTTTGTATCGTTTGCAATTCTGTTACCTTTCTTCTAATAGCTCTTTAATTGAAATTGTGTATTTGTATCTCCTTTCTTAACTACTTATCTTTTTTTCGGAAAGTAAGCTTATTTGCAGTAGAAAGAGTTTGCCCAGGGAAGTACTGCCACCTTGCCTATTTCTGCCGCCAAGAAGTAATGTAAATATTACTGTGTTACGATTTTGAAGGGTAAGGGTGCTGGTGAAATTGCAGTCACTTGGAACTTGTCAACTTATGTCTCAAGGTGACGGGCGCAGTGGCAGTGCCCCTCAGATCTTTGCGATTTAAAGCACTGAGTGGCACTGAAACTGTTATGGACAGGCGTGTAGCTTACCATCAGGCGCTATTGACTATGTTAATCTACAATCTTTTGCCATCTTTCGGGTAATTTTGAAGTTCCCCTTTCATAAAAAATATGTATTATAAAATACAGCTATAAGTATAGTTTGGTGGTATCTTCGTTATCAAAATCGTGTTCATTCAACAAATTTTGTAAAGACGAAACCAGTGAAAATCTCAACGGGCTATCTCGGGCGAATACGGTGGATGAGGTAACAAACCCCAACCTAACTTCAATTCGAGTTCTTAGGTTTTCGCGATTGTTATACATAGGAATGAAACTATTTTTCCGGATTTAAATCAGTCAACCGTGACCATGGGACCTGTAAAGGGCCCGAAACGTCGGTTTGTTTGAAAAAACAAATATACGCGATTTAAATCCGGAAAAATAGTTTCATTCCTAACTTCAATTGTTTTTGACGGCTTTGCCTTGTCACGAGGTGGAGAGCTAGGAGCAAAAAGGAACCTAAGAGTGTTATGTAGGAGAGTAGAGTGGTGTGTTGTGTATATTAAGAAGATAGAAGTTGGATACACGGAGTTGCGGGCCTATGCTCTCCAAGGTTGGAGACTAAGGCCAGAGGTGTAGAGCCGGAGAGCAGTGGGTTCAGCGTGAAGGTGGAGAGTGGAGAGGTTCTCGTAGAAACAGCGGCAGTTACGCAGCACTGGCTTCGGAAAGCGGTGAGGATATACTAACAGCGTCGGTTATGCAGCACTGGCCTCAGTTGATCCTAGGGCGAGGTGGAGCTTGTAGTTAGGCGCTCTACACTCGCAGGGCGAAGGGCCCAGTCCAGATAGGCAGAACGTTAAGGTGAAGAGCAGGTTTAGGTGGAGAACCGAGGAACTTAGTTCAGGCAGACGCGTGAGCGCGGCATGAGGAACTGCGCCTGGAGTTACTGCTGCCGCGCTGGACATTGATTTAAGTCAAACACGGGAATCAAAAATACGTAACTTCATCTTAAATACCAACTGTCCTCATGTTGGCCCTAATAACCTTTAATAACCGTTTCCGGTTGTTAAAGGGAAGTACATCAAATGTCAAAACCAATGTTTGGCCAAATGTTTTAGTGAATTATTCGCATAAATTGTAATGAAATGGACAAAAATATTGACAGTGAGAACAATTAAGTATTGACGAAAATGCGTCGCTGCAGCATTAAGGGATGCGGCAATAGAAAAAGCGGAAATCGACCGAATCAACCGAATGTTACATTACACTGTGTTATTTTTTTGCCTATAAATCATACAATATCCCAAATATCTCATGTAATTAAACTCATTTAAGTAGTTCATTCATAAGTCTTGCCGAATTTTGCTTTGGTTACTTTAGATTGCCTGTTTGTTAGTATATTTTGATAATTGTTGATAACGATTATTTCGAGATAGTGATGTTCTCGTAAGCAGACATATTATCAATATTCTGTCATTAAAACAATTCACTACGAGGTTTTTATTGTTTCATTATTATAATTTTTAAAGTTTACCTACAAATGAAAAAAAGAAAGAAAGAATGGTTGGAAATTATAGGACTGCCGAACATAAATATTGGATCAAATACCATCTTCGTTTGTTCGCTCCATTTTGAAGAGTCAAATTTTAATAGAACTTTGAATGTAACTAGATTACATGATAATGCAATTCCATCGTTACATTTATTGGTAAATAAGTTTATATTTAATTTTGATTAAAATGGCTCATTACGTGCCTAGTAATAATAGCCTAGTA